TGTATTATATACGATGTTCATAAATCATAATAATATCTAGAAAAATGAGAATTATTCTCGATGTTCTATAAAAAATTCAGGTAATAATCTTATCAATCATTTTTAATTGTTTAGTATACATTTTATATTCGATGTACAAAATTATATAAGTAGGTACCTAGGTACTATATATCTTTAAATCACATAAATCGTTATAATATATTGAACCAACATTTTTAGACAATATAAAATATTCACAATTCACATTACGCATTTTTACAAACAAAGGTTACATTTATTTAAACCTGTGCAATACACATGTCTAACAATAGGTACGTACTTCAAATTTTCAAACGAGGATTTACAGAGAACTGCACAAGTGTATTGATAAAATTCAATATAACCTCAACCACGATAATAACATTGGACAAGAAATTTAATCAAAATAAGAGTACAGACGACAGACCTACCACTCTTGGTACCTACACAATTTTATCATATTATGGTTGTAAGATATTTGATTTTCATCGATTTTTTTTTGATTTTTCATTGAATTCATTTAGCGTTATTAAAACGAATGCGTTATTACAAGCCAACTCTAACGGTTTGTCGAACAAAACGTTAACAAAATATTAATAAAGTACATCAATTCAAAACAATTATCATTTAAAGTAGTTAGAGTTAGGTACCTATGTTCTTACCAAATTAATAAGTGTAATAACTAATAAGTGTATGTATTTAGTTACAACTATGTTATTTTAATATTAAACAAATACCTACCATAAAAAAGATACTTGAGGCTAAAAAAGTCAAAGAATTTAACTGTTTTATTATATTGTATAGAAATGTAAATAGTATTTAACATGATCTGTAAGGGTAGGATATTTTTTTTTCTTCCTCTTGAACTCAAATATTTTTTCAAATGCTTCTTACACCTTATACCAATAGTTAATAATATGTCTCTTAGTTTATCCTAAATTACATTTCTAAAAACCAAAATGTATTGATTACCACTTAGTTGTAAATTTTCAGCTTTCATCTAATATATAATATATCTATAAACTACAATGTTAATTTACGGATGTTTTAATTAATTGTTATTAGAGTAGAAAATATATTTACAAATCTATATTGTTATCGTACCTACTTACTCAGATTAATCACAGAAAACTTTTGAACCTAACCTAGATTTTAAAATATCGTTTTAAACTTTTTTAATTTTATCTATTGCATTATTTACTTACCAAACATTTAAATACTTCTATAGTTCTATGGTCTGTTAATATATTTTATACCCTTTTGGCTTTTTAGAAGCCATTTCTCACTGAAACATCTATAAATAAATTACATTGTTGATGAAATTCAACCTGAATTATTTTGATAATATTTTATCCACGGACTCGTTTGATATAGTTCTATTAATTCATTCAGGTATGGGTATTTATCAACTTTATTAACAATTACCTACGATTATTGGATATTTCACACGAATGTAGATATTAATTTATTTACTAATGGGCTATGATACAAAATTAATAAATTATGTAATATTCAAATTAATTCAAAATACCTAATATTCTACTTTAGTTTAAAAAAGTTATGTCACTTACCATTCTTTCAAACGAATAGTAATAGTAATAATCTAACAATGAACTGCTCTGCAAATTATGAAAAAATGTTACTCAATAAAACACACTAAATAAAAATAATAACATGCCTACCTACCTATAGGCGATATTATATTATGTGGATACTGAATACAAAAATTAACATTTTCATTTTCATTATGGATTAGACTGTAATTTTTTTTTTTTTTATCATTAGACAAAAATCAAGGGAATATTAAAATAAAGTAAACAATCATAAAATGAAAGTGAAGGGTCAAGTAATTTAGACCAACGACATCATAATATAAAGAGGTTAGATATACCGTTTCGAAATGAAATACAAGTGTACCGGAAAGTTATAAATAATTGTCTAGTCCACCATTGTTCTATATATTGTTTAACGCCCCTCAATAAGAACTACTTATTAAAGGTTAAAAAAAAAGGTTTTATTTTAACTTTTATTATTTTTTTTGTTTTCTGCAAACAACCCTAAGTACCTATAGCACTACAATTTTACGTTTGAAATTTCGAAAAACTTAAACAGATGTTGAAAAACTATTGTTATAACATTGCATCCTTAGTCCTATCTTACATAGATATTATACGATATAGAATATCCACTTGTTTATAAAAGCCAAATTTATATAAATCTCATTCTACTTTTCTAAATGTATTATGTGTTTTTAACAAAAGCAAAAAAGAATTCTTCGAATGAGACCAAAACGAAAATTGCATGTAAATAATAATAATAATATATTAATCATACGCATGTAGGTATATTTTATATATATACAGCCAATTTACTTGAGTTTCGTGATTCTTTTTAAGGCAACAAATTCCTGAGATATTGTTGGTAATTAAAGTATAAAATATAATCAATGGGTGTTTCAGGGTTTGTGTTAGCTCAAGATGCACCATAGAAAGTTTCACAACTAAAACCAAATCCCCATTAAACTACCTACTCAAAGGAACAAACTTATAACTCTTGATAATGTATTTTAGATTGAAGGTTGGTTAAATTTTATTTCAAGACTGATAAATTAAAATTGCCATCTATACTATATCGACGTACAATAAGACAACGTATTATATTATAATATTAATTAAAATATATAATATTGAGACATTGAGTACTGAGTAGTATTATTGATATCATTTAGTACTCAGTAGCTAGGTATTTGAATGAGAAAATAAATATACTTACACGGTATAATAATGTAAAAAGTAGAATAGCAATAGTATACAGTTCATAGCAATCAAAACAAAGTCAATAACCACGGCCTGTAACAAAACAAAGCCCACGGACCTAGTGTAATCCACGTTTTATATTTTCTGAACCAAATTAAGAGTGACGTAAATGTAATTTTTCTTAATAACTAAACTAGAATTTTTGCAAACTAATAAACATTTATTATTAATTGTAATAAAATAACCTTTGGATTTTCTCGATAATTTATTATAAAAAAAAATTCTGTAAATACACAATTTTTATAAATGTTAAATTTCAGTTAAATTATAAATAGTTCATTTATTTTATTAATCGATGTTTTTATGATTAAATTTGCTTTAGTGTTTGTTAACTCTTTGATACACGCTTTATCAGAAATTCAGCTTAGTTATGTTGTGATCAAAGAAGTTTATAATTATATTATAATGACTCTTTGTTTTATCGAATTAGATCGTACAAAAAAAAGTTTCATATTTTGGTGTCATTATTAATTTTACTATGATTGAATACCTATATTATATAATTATATAAGTTATTGAGATACAGGGTTTCTATCGAGAAGAGTAAATACATGTGTAGGTATAATGGAAATATGCCAACAGGCTGCATGCAAACTCATCTGGAATTTAGTAATATTTAGGGTATTCGAATTTTGTACATACCAAGAGTTTAATATAATATTATCGTCAGTGGCGTGTTTAACCCAAGAATAACAAATGCAACCATTTTTTATTTTTAATATTGAATTTTTAATTTGTGGCCATTAAATTTTTTAAATGATTTAATATTTTGATTGGGCTAATTATTTATAATAAAATTCATTAACTTGACGAATTTTCTAAAAATATGTACCTACACAAACACCTAATTTGTTTAATAAATTAATATATTAACCCACATAGCATTTGGGTAATGATAATATTTTGTAAATATTTTCAAATGGTTTAATTATGAATATTTTTTAGATGGTTTAAAAAAGTTTCTATGAAAATATTTTTGGAATAATCATAATAGAACTTTTTATAATTATTATTCAGTAAATATTTTATCAATTATGTTAAAATATATTTTTTAAATAGACTGCAATAGTTGAGAACCAAATATTTTCAGGATAATTATAATAGAACTTTTTATAATTATTATTAAGTAAATATTATATCAATTATGTTAAAATATATTTTAATTTCGAAATTCAGATTGGATTAAAACAACAATTAACATTACCAACTAATATATTATATAAATACTGTATTAAGTAATATAATAACGATTGTTGATTTTCAAGGTGTCCAATACAACCAATAATTATTAAGATGTTTATTAAGAAAAATTATTGAACATAATTAGACCTTTCAATGCATTTTTTAGTATTATTTATAGGTATAATCTAATTTCGTGTTATTATAATATAATGGATAGTTAGTGATGAGTCGTAGAAACTAGAAATGGTATTTTTTACCAACATATGTTTTAGAAGTTAATATATATTAACTTCTAAAACTTAATAACTTGAAAAAATTAAATCGGTTAAATAACTTAAATATTTTAAAATTAGTATTCCTAAACGTTTTAAAGTAAAATCGAGTTTATACGTATACAACTCATTATTCAATATTTTGATACAGCAGCCTAATAAAATAAGTTAACCGCTTACGTTAAGTAAATTAATACTTGTATAATGTTAATCTGAAAATCTTACAAAAGTATTATCAAAATGGTTTCTATATAGTATATCGGTAAGTGGTTGATACTCCTACAAATTTCTAGTAGGCAATTTATACAACACGTAACAATACCACAATGTACCTATATGTATTCAAAATATTTTCTATGTTTGCAACTAAAATTAAATAATGCGTTAGTTAATTTTTTATGGTATACCTATTCATATACGAAAATATTATTTATGTATTGTGGGTCAGCATAATATTATGTTTTTACAAGTAGAGTTTTTGATAATTACCTATGTCCCTAGAGAATATGGAAATTGAATAATACAAACATAATAACACAACTAAAATAATTAATCTAAATTAATTTGTCGTGAAAACATTGTTTTTCTTATACCATGTTTGGAATAATGATGGTAGGTAATTATTTATAATAAGCTGTGGTCTGTTTATATTGAAATTAACTTTCGAACGTTCGAAGTATCAAACTCATTTTAATAAGGATGATTTACTTACCAAATGTGTTAAAGTAATGAACAAGAACAGTCCACCGGCGAAAGAGAATACAAATCCAGAATATTCCATGTTTCCCAAACAAATACCAATGACCAAACCTATAAACGCTGTACAAGCTGACAGGAAATTAAATGACAAAGCACGACGGAACGACATACCGGACTGAATTAGGATAGCAAAATCTCCTAAAAAAATAATGCACTTATATAATAACAGTATCAATATGTAACAGCAAAAATCATTATTTTCATATTTTCGGTTTCGACCGAATTGGGGAATATGCCGGTTTTATAAGTGATTATTTTTCAAAAAACACTTTTAGGTGCAGTAAAAATTACACTGAAATTAGCGATTTTTTTTTCAGTTTGAACCGACAGCAGAGGAGGGTCTGTTTGCACAATACTACTCCTGTAATTAGCGATTTTAACAACTATTCATAGATTGGGAATCGCAAAATTTCGCAACATGACGTGACTTAATATCATGCAGAATTATTTTATAGATGCCTTAACTCTTGTTAAAGTTGTAAAACGCATTGGAGAAAGTGGTAGAAAGGTGAATAATGCGGAAAATCAAAAAAATTTTTGTTGTGGAATATCGTTTTACGAATGCAAGTAATATAAACTTATCTTGAAGGATGTCCCAGACAACAATATTAGTATATTTTATTGAATTGCGCAATACTGTGTAATACGAACGATTGGGTGAGACGAATTTCATAATATTATGCAGTTAGACATTATATTGCCGATACAGATTGGCAAGTGCGTGCTTACCGATTTCATGCGGGAATTCCTCACACGCAATCGCAATCGATATGGATATCCCGGTGGTGACATTTTCCGAGAAAGCAGCACCAATCGACATGCCATCGATTATGTTGTGTAGACTGTCGCCGAACAGCACCAGTAAAGCTAACGTCGAAATCGGACTCTCGTCGTCCTAAACAGACAAAGTCATATATTTATAATTTATATAATATCATAATATTATGATGTTATTTTATGATAACACAGTCATATTATTGTACAAAAACATAAGCTCGTTGTGCGTGTTATTTGTCCATAATATTGTGCACGTACCATAGATTTATTCGTTAATTTATGATTGTGACTGTGACCGTGCCCATGCGATATTTGTTTCATTTCGGTGCCGTTGCCGTTGGTGAGCTGAAGTGACGGCGATAATTCGTCGATGCCTATCTATAAACCTCATAATATTGTATTAATAATCTAAAGCAGAACGGAATAGAAAAAAAGAATATGAACCGAAATTATAAACCGTACTTGTACCTTTTTTTCTTCTTTGTGGAAAATGATGCCGGCTAACGTTTCGAGCATATATAATCCCCACAGGCTCAACCACATTATTAGAGCCGTGTGTCTGTAGTCGGGAAATGACTCTGGTATTTTGAACGCCTGGAAAATTTCGTTTAAGAAAACGATTATTATTTCATAATCTAGTTTATAATTCATGAACAGAATTTGTAGGGATCAGTATTAAATTACTTTAAAATCACACCAACATGCAGTAAAACTATCAACATACATAATAATACCTAGTAGTAAATGACGTACTATATTATGTATTATACCTCCACGTCATCGTCATGTATTTCACTTTTTGCTCTTAACATAAATGCTTTTGGGCTGGGTACAGATGTTTTAATTTTCTAACCGATTTTGTGTTACACTTTATTGTTTATCAGTTTATCAGCATGTAGAAGCGAATAAAATATAAAAATTACCTAATTCGCACTAGGCATACAGGGTGAACAGGAAGACCTGAAAGATGAAATAACTTTTGTTCTAATCAATATTTTTTTATATATATAAATATATAATGTATAGTAAAGTGCGATATAAAAAAATATGTTTTTATTTTTTAATACTAAAAATAAAAATTTAAAATAGTCAATTTTTCAATCTGATTATAAGAACAATTTTGATGGTAAAAACATGTATCTAATTCAAGTAGTTTATTTTTTATAATTGTTTAAAATATCACTATATTTATTTTTGAGTAAATTAATTTAGAACGTAATAACTTTTTCAAAATATTATTTTGGGGAATTTCCTGACAAGAATATATTTATTAACCATATAATTTCCACAAATTTTGTCATACATTTAAGTAACATCATTTTTTTCAGGTCTTCCTGTTATACAATTAATGGTTACTCACTTACTCATCAATACATATTTATGATTCATACATTTTCTTTTAAGTGAAAAATATCAGGTAGTGTGATACGTTTATGTCACACCTGATTTAATACGTTAATTTTTTCATCATGTTCTCACATATTACTTACCTATATCGGCAGGTTTAATATTATAATACTTTTGCAACAAAACTAAGTAGGTATAATAGATATAGGTTTCTCGAGGTTATCAGTAGACGTGGAAAAAACATAATTAAATTACTATGAAATGAGCTATGAATTTTTATAATTCATAAATTGCTGATCTTTCAGTTTTTATTACTTAGTTATAATAATAAATAATCTATATGCGGTACTGAAAAATAAACTTGTTAAATAATTTTAATGGTTATTTTAAGTGATCAACAGTAAATAATGATACGTTAAAATATAATTCTATATTACATTTTAAACACTTCTAATTTATTTTAAAATGTATTATGTTTGAAAATTGGAGAATGATTCAATTTAGTTGGAGCGACTTAGATTTTTAATTTTCCTGACATAGTTGAAAGATGTATTTTAGACAATAAACAGAAATTATGCTAACATTATTAACAATCGCATTAAGTATCGTTTGCTAAAAGCGAATACAAAATACTAACATTAATGTTTGATGAAAATTTCAAATTTAAACTTTCAAGTCTCTACAATTATTCATTTTTGAAAAAATTACAAAACCAATTTGTTCGAAAACTGGTTTTGGGTAAAATTCCCGTTTTCCCTGATAATTTAGAAATGTATTGGGAATTTTTTACTATTCCTCGATTTGTTTAAAATTTAAGATCTATACGTTATTCTGCATTCTCACGGCACAGCATTCTTTCCACGCCGTGTAAGTATTAAACTTATATGTTTATAATCTACATAATATGTATTATATATTATATGCTTTTATACATTTTTTTTAATTAATATTATATTATTAAAACCCTTACTTCTGGAAGAAGTTGGAATACAGCTGAACTAGATAATGATCCTGTGGCTAAGCCCAAAAGTAGTCTCATTACAGTTTTCTTTCGATTTGGGTCGTTGAGCAAAGGCCAAAATATTGCACCAACCAGCCCCGATAGACTTATGATGCCAACAGACACCAAACCTCCAATCCAAGCTATAATACAACAACATGACTGTAGTACAACAATTATATTAAAAACATGTGATTTTACTAACCTTCAGCAGTCGTCGACTTTTTGGATAGTGAAATCGGCATTTGATTATCTGCAGGAATCGCCATTGATCTGATTGGATAATTTTCTTCATAACTAACGAACTCGACTGTACACGAGTTGGGTCTCGATGCATTGTCACACTGATAACAAGATAAATATACCAACATTTGTGAATTAATTTAATAATAAATATAGTTAATTATAATTAATAGTAGGTTCCTAATACAAAATTATTTCATCGGTATGATGTTTCAATAAATACATTTTTAGATAAAAACTGGAAAATTAAAATATATTCTAGTTAGAGTATAGCAAAATATTCAATAAAATAGGTAATCAAAGGCGAGTCAATAAATACACATTTTAAATAATATTATTTTACTGTACAAAATGTGCTGTTGGTCTAATCGTCTATCAGAAATGCGATACAGGTAGAGTAGATTAAACACACATTATAGTTATTTGTTTTTAAATTGTATGTAAAACATTATTACATATGTACCTATTCTTTAAGAGGACGCTACCCATGCATTTGTTGTCTCTATTAATTCACTAGTTCATTCTCTAATTTCAATAGTGTGCTGTAAGCTATGATACTAGAGTGAATTGGCCTATTAGCAGACTTTTAGGTAAGAACAATATATGTGTTTATAAGCATCAGCGAGTTTTAAATATTTTAATTTTCAAGCAAGATAAACCGCTGACGCTTAAGCACAGATATTATTCTTACCTAAAAGTTTGATAATAGCCAATAGGTCAATTCACTATAATATCATAATTAACAGCACAGTATTGAAAAACTAGTGAATGAAAATTTTCTATGCCGTACGTGTGTAAGATGGGGACAACAAATGCATGGGTAGCGTCCTCTTAAGTTATATTTATTAATGTGTTGTGTAAATATTTAATAATTAGGTACATTCGACATTCGACAATATCATTACCAAAGAAGTATTGGTTTGTATACGGAAATAGTAACCATACAGTCAAGTGTGTTCATGTTCAAGATTGATTTGTCCTTATCTTTAAAAATATATACACAAACATTGGTGTGCTTCAATCACGTTTAGCACTTGAGCTTATTAAGCTAATTACTGATAAATAAAAAATAAAACCCGTTTGTTTATAAAACGTCGTAATAAGTTGGACGATGATTTACTAGTACCTAGGTATATAAAATTTGATTTAGAGATAAAGCAGTTTTTATTAATATAATAGCGCTAATAGATAATACTTAATAGTAACGATAACAATCGGACTGTATAATACCACAGAACAATACGGACACAACAAAATGTATAAATTAAATGTTTTTTGTTGTTATTATTATTATTATTATTATTATTATTATTATAAAAACGGGTATTCTTATACAATTGTTTGGTCGTACACTCATACGAGTGTATTTCATTCCTTACGCTGAATGAAACTAAAAAGAAAATCAAAATTAAATTCCTCTAATATACCAACAAGTTAAATGTTAATATTTCCTATCGTTAAACAGTCACATTGTCTTATGTATGCTGAGCTATAAAAGTCAACACAGACGAGTGTACATTATTGATAAATATTGTAAGGTTGTGTCATGTCGATCTGAGATCTCTGTTTATCATACACTTAGCATAATATAGGTACCTTGTGCAGTTGTGCGAATTCAATTTCTAGATCGATATATTATTAGATTTAATTATTGACATTTTATTAAATTCAAGTACGAGAATATTATTTGTGATATAGTGATACGTTTTTTTTCTATTTGGTGATATTTAAATTAGGTTTACACATTAAATTAGGGTTAAATATTAAATAAGGGTTAAAAGGGTTAAACATAATTCTAAAAATTAAATGTGTAATACCAGTTTGTTTTTTAATTTCTAGAAAAAAAATAACACCAAAATTTAAAAGAATAAAATGGAAAAGAATTAGCTTCTTTGTAAATACAATTAACGTACTAGGTACCCTTTTATAATTTTAAATAGTCTAGAGTACAGTGACGTTAATTAGTTAGACGCTCTTTTAATTTCGCTTATCGTGGCACAAGAATAGTGGCAATATCTATGATATACCATTTAAATGTAATGATAGATCATCGTCTTCTAGAAAGAATATCCTGCACAGAGCTCAGTGATACCATTGCCTTACTGTCAACATTTTTGGGTGGTTTTTGTAGTTGATTATAGAAAATCACAAACTTATCTGTAGGTACCTAAAACTTTTTAGGTAGGTACTATACAAATCACATATAATATTTCAGGTGCATTTGGGTTTGATTACCAATGTTTACCATATTATGGTCTATGACTATTGATTATGTATTCATCCAAACAATTATCTCGTCAATAATTTGTATAACTTATTTAGATGTTTTTGTACATTTTATATACCTACAATTGGTATAAAATATAATAATATGTGAAAACACTTAATATTAAAACAAATAGGTATGTAATAACACAAACAGCAGTATTTCTCAAGTGCTAATATAATATGCAATTCTGACAATATCAATATAGTCAAGTTAATATAATACTTAATAATGTAAATGCTACATCCCACTCGTGAAATATTGAACAATTTGTGAAATGAATAACCGTCAGTTGTTCTGTATACTGTTTTGAATGTTTGAAAACATAAATAATAACGATACTTCAAGTTATTCTGAGCTTTTATAAGTTATAATTATTAACTAAATACTAGACATTTTTGTTATAATAAATAGAAAAACAGGAATATTAGAAGTCATTAATGGTATTCTATTATTGTTGATCTTACATTTCAAAAAAGAAATGTATTATAAAATATAATTCAAAATATTCGAAAACCTATCAATTCACCTCGGCTTATTAATGTGACTCGTGTGATTAATACTTAAAATTTAGTTAAAAACATAAACGCAACTAGAGAGGGAGGCTATCTCTCCTACAAATAACCCAAAGCTCAGTGGCGTATCCAGGATGTTTACATGGTGGGGGAGGGGGATGGGTGGATAGATGATCAATTAACAATAGTAATTTATTTTTATGTTGTTTCATTGTAGTATGTGGACAATGGGGGGGCATGACCTACAGGCCCCCATGGCCATGCCACTTCCAAAGCCCCTCAAGATAAATTAATCTTTGAACTCGTATAATATAAATTTAAAATTAATAGGTAAATAAGTTTAAATTGACTTCATAAAAAAATTAAAGGTGTTGGACATTGATAAAGTATAATATTATTAAGTAAATCCTTAGCTATCCTGTACTCGTCGTCGTGGCTTATTGTAAATTAATCTGAAATTGACACTAACACTGCTCTCTGAACTATTTCGTGGTCGTCTAGTTCAAATATTGAGTCGTGCTTCATCCAAGCAGATTTTTAACAATATGGGTTAGACAGAGATTTTGGTCTAAGTATTTAGTAAATAGTTTAGGTACCTAAATTTTGCACGTGACGAACAGGCAACAGCTGTTTGTTAAACATGAAAATGAGTTATCACAATCACAATACCGCACGAAACATTATTCTACCTATTAATTTTATCCACTTCTGCATGCCAGAATAATTTACATAAAATATTATTTACTTATAAAATATTCAGAGAAAAGCCGACTTGTTAAAACTTCAACGATTAAACTGCACATTATCTGTACCTTTCAGCATTAGCGTCAGTTCTTCAGTAGTCAATAACTGCAGTAGAACACTAACTATGCACCGTGGGCACAATATTTTAATTAACAGACGTTGAACTTTAAAAATGCTATCCTGGTAGGAGTGAACCTAGCATGTACGACAGTACCTATTATAGAAAACTAAATTGTAATTATTTATAAATTATATAATATTTTACGGGCGAGACTCTTTTTGACCAAAACCGTACCCTTCCCTTTTCGATACTTATTTATTATACTACCAATACTTCTTTTCGACCAAAACAAAAAGTTATATAATATATGTAAAAAAAATAAAATAGGTAGTTGGTATATAATTTTTTGTAAAATTATGGAAATTATAATTATTAACATTATTTTTATGTTAATATTTCACAATATATATAATATTTTATAAGAAAATTGAATAATAATAAACTATTCTTTTCAATAATTAGTAAATATACCTAATAGTAATGTGTATAATATATACAATTTAACTAATTGTTGTAAAATAATGGGTAATATTATATACTATAATATGTTATATATTTTACAGAAAATTATTAAAAGTATAAGTTTAATAATGTTTGCTATGGACCTACCTATTACATAAATTATAATATAGCTAGGTATCAAATTTTTTGTATTGTATAATTTTCAAAACTATATTATATTAGGTACTAATGTATTATACTTACTAATTATTGACAAAAATTGTATATTATTATTTAGTTTTCTTATATAATATATTATAAATATTATCATTGTGACATATATTAACATAAAAATAATGTTAATATATAGGTGTTCTTATATTTTAAATATTAAAACTTATAATTTTAGCAATTTTTTTAAATTATAAGTGCCATAATTTTACAAAAAATGATATACCAACTAGTTTATTCTTTTTACATATAATATATAACTTTTTGTTTTGGTCGAAAAGTGAATCAGCCGAAAAGGAAAGGGTACGATTTTCGTCAAAAACGGTCATGCCCTATTTTACAACTAACTCCAGTCAAATAACAAATGTATTATTGTTTATCAGAAATAAAACACATCAACTATATTTATACAATCCACAATTCCTTCTTATTCGTATTTACTATTTAAATATTGAACTGTATATACCTAGGTAAATACTTAATTTAAAAAATGTCTTATGAAAATCGATATAAATTATCGATACAAGACGGGTATTGAGAAGAAAACGAAATTATAAATTATGATTAACGATCGAACAAAGCCGAATCTATTCATGTGAATCCTTTGGTTCGACGACTATTCATATTATATTCGAACACCCGCCACCAACTGAGATATGGTATAAAATCAATATAGAAATAGCAATACTCAATCTTTTCCACAATCAATCAGAATTCGCAATGGAATAATAATTACAATCTGCAGAAGATTTATCATTAGCCGCACAGATTATGCCTTTTTTATAGGCGAACATTTTCAATTGATATTACAATAGTGTAATAAAATGCGATTCATTGGAAGTAAAAAAAAAATTTTAAATAGGAGAACAA